GAGAAAAAACGAATTACTACACTCAACCCGAACGGACGGACGTACACGAAATCACGAGAGTTAATGACAAAGTAGCAAAAGACGTTAATTTATGAAATCCAATTGTTAAAACAGTAATCCCAAATAAACCCGACTGCGTAAAAGAGGTTACTGAAAAGTGAAAATTTATATGTCACTTCCACAACTAAAACCAACTTAACGAACATTCTGAGGCGGTCGGGTATAAAAACAGAAAGAATACTTAAGATAATTAATACGATTAACGATTAAGATATTAAGATTGTTCCCTACACTCGCCATTCGGAACACGACAGCATTAAGTTGCTATTTTACGCTGGGATTCTGTGAGAGCGTGGTCGTTCCTCGGTCAAGCCGACCCAAAGTGCTACAACCATAAAATAGCTGTTGAACCAATTAATTTGGGCACGACCTTATTTCATGTATCTAAAAATTTAAATGTGAAAACTATCGCTGGACATAGGCAAAGGCACGTCAACCAAATATTCCGTTATTTCATTACGTAAATTTTCCCAAATCTAGATCTAGAAATCTAGAAATCCCTTAAACAAGGTTTACCACGCGAGCTGCCGTTGCAAGGGGACACTTAACCAATGACCTTTACTAATCCTATATTACGTTTAAAAATAAATTACATTTTAGTGCGTATAATTTAGGTTTTTAAGGACATAACTTAGCATTTATTTGTAACTCAAGCGGCGGTTGTATCGCCGCTAGGAACATTAGTATAATTAATTAAAACAATTTTAATAATGTAGTTGTTTAGGTTTATAGCATGAAATTGTGGCGATCCAGACCGAATGACGTATTCATTAATTTTTGAAAATATATTTCCTTAAGGCCAGGCTGGACTTAATATCATATTTTAGACACGAAAATGACGCGCGGGAATTGATACTTCTTGAAATAGTATATGCTCGGAAAAAATATGCGCATACATGAAATACTCTATTAAAATCATAATTAAGTAGATTTTAAAAATACTTTATATTAAAAGAGATTTAAAAAAAAACGTGTGTATACTTATGTACGCACGTAGGAGGAAGTTATACTTTTTTAGCGTAACAAAACAAAAATGACTAAAACTAACTACGGCGTGTAAGAATTGTCTTTTTGTATTCAGTCCGGCTTATCCTCAGAATGGACATCACACACTAAACAACGGAATCATAAATCCTATATCTAATAAATTATCTCAAGACATGGTCGATGCTCTCTTTGTGATTAGTTTTAAAACAGACTGGACAAAGGTTGCAAAGACAATCCAATTTAGTGCATTGGTGTGGGCTTGGACTATTGTAAAACACCAACACAGAGACAGAGAGGCATATCAGCTATAAGCTGCTCGCCTAATTATAATAAGAAACTTGACGACAACACAGAGAGCAATGCCAGGAGTGATAGGCTATATTTTACTCGTAAAACTTGATGTATGTTTTGTGTGAAATATTGGAATCGAATCGATGTAGTGATAAAACAAATAGTCATTGATAATTTAAAAAAAATATCTAAATAACGCCACATTGATATATTTGATTTGATTGACCATATCCAGGCGAAACCACAGCGGATTACTAGTATAAAAATAAATGTATCAACATCCTAAGTCTCTATTCAAGGTCAGTTGTCAGAGTGCCGGCAATTTGTACACGAAATCAACGACGTAGTTTTCTTTGAAATAATCATTATATTAAATGAATCGAAATAAATTATATATAATAATACATAAGAAACACATTCACAAAATACGCAGTAACGATTTCACTGTTGGCTACTGAAGGTAGAGAGCAGCCTCCAGTAGAAGTTCCCGTACCTACTATTATATATTCTGTGGTAGAAGGTAGAGTTCAGAGTACAGGGTGGAAAAATCAAATGGGACAAGAGGGAAAAATACATTATCAATATATTAAAAGATATCAAGTTTCACTCAAACGTAATATTCCCTTGATTTTAAAAATAAAAATAACAGATTAAATTTTTTTAAAAGCTCGATGATGAAAAGCGCGATACTGGAGTAAGAATCGGTTCCCAGCTCGGGTGTCCAACTGGGAATCAATCCAACTAAAAATGCAAAAGAAATAGTCACTACTTTGTTAAAACAATTGATAGGTCTATGGTTAAAGACAAAATCTCTCGACAAAAAGTAATTTAGAAATTACGAGTAAGAAGACCGTGAAATCTAACGATTCATTAATATCGACTTGTAAATAACATACTGTTATTATGATACTCACTTACTGATTATTTTTTGAAAGTAAAAGAACCTCTATCATTTTCTTAGAACTTCACGATAAGAGTACCTAAATAAGATAAAAAATAATGTTTTAAAATATAATATCAGTTGTAAATAATCAGCTTAAAAATAAGTCGAGGTTCAAGGTTTGTCTCACGAATAATCATCACAATTGATGCTAACGTCGAAAGCTGCTGCTAATTTAGGCGTTGATTTAATATCGCCGGCTTCCAATATCGCCTTTAATTGTCAACAGTCATTGTCGAAAAAGGGTTAATTTTACAGGTCGAAATCACCAGAACGGAATTTGGCAAACCAATAACAGGTGATGCGCTCTTTTGTAGTATTCACTCCGTAAACGTCGTTGATGTTGCGTGCCGCTTGTGCCGCATTGCTGCCACGTCGGTACTCATCATATTCCACAATTATTTGAATTTTTAACGTATCCATGATAACGAAAAAAATTCAAAATTTTGAAAAAGAATTCCACGTTTTTAAAATATAAAAAACGAGCACGTAGTCCACTTGATAAGTAAGTGGATACTGTGGCCCATAGACATCTACATCCATCCTCGATTAAGAATAAAAATGCAGATGCGTTGCCACTGTTATAAGACGAAGTTGCAATGCCTCGTTTTCAGTAGCAAGGGTCTCCGGTTCTCTACACTCTCCATACGAAATATGTACAGCGGCAATAAGCTGCTATTTTACGCTGTTATTCCGCGAGAGCGTGCTCCTCCCCCGGTCGAGCGGACTCATTCGTGCTGCAGCACGTATAACTGCAGCATTACCCTACCCCGTATAATGTATCTTTTGAATTCTTCAGTATCAAAACGGTTGGTTGTCTGGAATAGATCACTACTCCGAGTGTACCTGTCAAGTTTTAATACTGTTTGTCAGCATTTGTTTCAATTATGCCAAATAAAAAGTTATATAAGCATACCTAGACAGATTTCAAGGTCTTCGTTCTTTGTAAGATAGAATGTTTATCCGCGAGATATTATCCTTATCATAGACCAAAACGTTTGTGTCGATAAAAAAATTAGTGTCTGCTTTTTGCATTTTAATTGGTTCCATTCCCGCTTTTAAAAAAATATTTCAATAAAGTTATTTTATTTTAAAAAAACAAAAGAATGTTTCTTTTGAATGAAATGTGATGCCTATCTTTAATATTAAATTAATATACCTACTTTTCCTCCATCTCCCCTTTGTTTTGTTCCACTTTGTATCTGTGTCTTTTGGTGTAGAGTGTAACGTACACGTACTTACCCATCTACATAATATTATGTAAAGGGTTCAAGTTGTATACCACTACCTACAGATAAAAAATCCGACAAGTGCGTGTAGGACTTGCGCATTAGGCGTTCCGTATAAACTTAGTTACATACTTACTTTCATCAACATCATAGTTTAATCACTGAAATTCATAGTTTATGGGCAAGGTACGGTAGAGCTATGTTCGATACATAGCTCTTATTTCTTTTTATAGTAAAATGTAAAAGAAAAGGTAAGTCAGATTGAAGAACAAACTTAACTTTTCAATGGAAAGAAAAATCCTATACACCGGTCTACAGTACGGTCGATGGCCCAACTGTAAGTTTGCAATAGCAAAAAATGTTTTCTTTTTAATGTGATATTTATATTAAATAAAAATAATAAATTTCGGATTTTTCCTTCACTCGTGCTGTGTGACATTGCGTCTTACCAAATTTCATGATTGTAGGTCAACGAGAAGTACCATATAGGTTTTAATGAGTCAGTTTATTGCAAGTATCTAAATATGATGTAATAAAAATGGCCGTATCCGTTTTCCGGACCGCTACGACTTAGGGATCTTCAAGAAAAGAGCCTACTCTTTTATACTAGGCCGGCAACGCACCTGCAATTGCCCTGGTGTTGCAAATACTCATGCTTTTGACATTGATCACTTACCATCAGGTGAGTCGTATGCTCGTCTGCCTCCTCTTCCATAAAAAAATATTTTGGTTGCGTTGTCTAAGAAATTCAAATTTTTTCAAACTCCAAGGGATTGTACCTAGTTACTATGAAATATAATCTACATACATAACACTTTAAGTTGAGATTTCTAACTATAGTTCCGTAAAATACTGAGGACAATAAAGTGATCCTATAGGGTTCCGTTTTACTTTTTGAGTTACGGAACACTAAAAGTATTTAAGCCTCAATACAGACGACGCGGCGTACTATTTCGTATTAGTTTGTAAACGATAACGTTACTTCACGTAGTCGCCGGTAGCTATTATAAGGCCGTTTCCCGAAACTTCTGCGGGAAGTTGAAGCACGATTTTTATCTAACGACATCTGTAAACATAATTTAGGCACACCTACTATGCATAACATCAGCTGTGTATGTTCAAGGTCGCGCGCCAAGGTCACCGAAGATGAACAAAGAAGTAGTACCATAAAACCGCCGCCCTAATGCATAACCGAAGCACAGGCGTAACATCGGATAAAGACCGGTTCCAATGAAAATAAACAATTATAATAGGTAACCCGAAGAGACGGGTATGCTAATAAGATTCTAATAGGTCCCGCGATTACCGACAGAATACCTGTGCTCTTACATTGTGTATTGTTTGAGTTTAGTATTTGCATATACAAAATAACCCTGTATTTATTGACCTGCACGCCTAACCGTCACCGGCGTATTGAGCAACTGATCTATTTGGGTAGATGCAACGTATCGGATCGTATCGTAGTGAAGTGTAGGAATCAAGGCGGCACTCACCGGTGTCGGTGCGCTCAGCCTCGTCGTCCGACTCGGTGCCGGAGTCTCGCCCCTCCACCTGCAACAACAAGAACACCACCTGAAGCGACCGATCAATCGCCCATCACCACCGCCGCCGAAAACGCCGCTTTTACGACAATCTCGCTTCTAATTTGAATTCGCTGACCACACCGGGTCATTCCTTAATAATTTGGAAATCTAACGAAACAGATTTCTTTCGTATTGAGATCGAATATCGCGGCGAGAGAGCCGGTAAACGTTCCGCTCCTTTGTTCTTGCGTAGCGGGCGGCCATTTTCTGGTGGCGGTGTGACCTTCGCGGCGCAAAGCCGGCTGGGCCGCGTTCACACCCACCTTCTCGGAAACGTTCTCCTCATTCAAAGAATGCGTTCGCAGTTTGTGAGTCAAGAATTTGAGCATTATTGAGCCTCGGCTCGCCACAATCGTCCGCCGTTGCACTTACACCGCCGCGTTTCGCGGCACGCACTACTCTCTCGATACTGGCACGAATACTACGCGATCTAGACGCTTTCACGCCTATGGCGAACGTTCTAAAAACATTTTAAGTCTAAATAACATAACCGCATATCACTTGCGCGAACCAACACCCGACCGCCTCCCTCGAACGCCGGACTACTACTAGTCTTGTTGGAGTAGCCTTGCGTACGACGCAGTCAGCTGAAGTGGGCACGGCTCATTAATGCCGAAAGGGCTTAAATGCGTTCGCGTTAAATACCACTCGTTCAGGCGAAATAAGTCGAAATACACCAGGACAATATCCTCGGATATATATTTAAGTTACTTCTACGACATAATATAGCCCAAATATAGCGTAAAAGCTTTTCAAGTGGCACTCGAAATGGACTCGCCCGGCAATCCATTGATGACAAAGAACCGGAACACGCAATGATCGGACGCGATTGGACAAAACATTACAGAATAGGATCGAAATTTAATGCAACATCGTGCGTCCCTCTCTGGCAACGCTCGGTAGTTTGCATCCGCCGAGCCGCCTGCATGTGCGACAAGGATAGCGATAGCGCACGTTTCAGTTATGTAACAGCGAGCTGATAATGTATCGCTGATAAAAAAGTTGCGCGTGTATTATAATATTGTGGACATGTATTCATCCATAAATATACCGAATGTAGTACTACTTTCATACGTATTTATTAATCATTAAAATTGTGTTCGACGGTGTAAGAAATTCATTATCTTATCATTTCATTAAGCTTTCTTTAAACCGACATAACGTAGCAGTTTTTTTTTATTTTATCTTTTAAATTTGCTAATGCTGAAAAACCCAGTAATGACAAAATGCAACATCCAATTGTGGTGTGAAAGAAGTTTGTTACAGAAATCACCTGCTACGTTCGTAGAATATGATATATATCTATTCACTATTTATGGGATATCCGACTAGAGTTTAGAGGTAAACTTCTCACATGATGGTATTTTTTATTAACTCAACGCATTTCATAAAGTGAATAGTATTTTGTAACAAGACTGTATGACCGTTTTTCAATTAATTATATTAAATTACATTTGCTCCACATTGTCACTAAAATTCAAAGTTAAAAGTGAATAAGAAATCTTGACTATTATGGAAATATATAAACTCTTTAAGTGTAGTAATTTGTAATAAAAACATTTGCATTTACGTGTCACATCCATAATATTCTTTGGCCATACGCTCGACCGGCTGACATAATGAATAGGCGGAGGCGGCCATATTACCTGCGCGATGTGCACAGATTTGTGCGGCAAATTCGAAAATATAAATTTAGCACTGGAATTTTGTTTTTATTACAATATAATATCTACAGATTAAAATTTTCCATCTTGTAACTAATTTTTTTTGCTTTTCCAATCATTTAACTTTAACTTTATTTCACCAGATTAAGAAACAATTTGTTATCTCCGCTTTTAGAAGAGTTTTAGGAGTAGGAGTAGGAGTATGGAGGTTTATATTTAGCCAGTATGCAATATATTCAATGCTTGATAACAGGAGCAGAGCGTAAGTAGGATATCATTCGTATCTCTTATAATTATTTTAAGTACTACTTTTTTTTCTGACACTTTTGCACAGAGAATGAATAAGGAATGGATAGGGTTTAAGTTAAGATACGACAAGAACAGTAAACAAAATAACATTTATTAAAAAATGCAACGAGCGATCACACAAAACCTTGACATTTGCGCGGGATGTAACAGACAGCGCAAACTTACAACAAACTTACGTGTACATCAACTGTTACAGAAACATATACTTAATTATTACAATTACAAGAATATGTACACATTTCTACTAGGTACTCATTTAAAACCAAATATTATAACAAATATTATTTTATTGTAACATTTTAGTATTACAGATAACAAATAATTCCATTGAATTATTGGATAGATAACATTAAAATTTGAAATTAGAACAATAGTCACAAATTAATCAGTTTTAAATTTGCATGATTACCAATATCTATTCTTATACCTATTGTTTATATATTTTTATACGATATTTTTTAATTTGATGTTTATAAGGGATCTCTAATGAAAATTCACTTTCACTAAAACACATCTCGCAGGACAGTGATCGGCTGTACTTTCCTTTATATCAAAATTCTTCAATTCCACCTTTTTTTAAACTTATTATAAGCCATTGTTTGACCACAATCCCACCTGGTGGTAAATATTGGTGAAGCCCTAAATCACTGTCTATTCACTATTGACTTCGAAGTCGCCCAGATTGTGGGAGGAGTTAAAGCATTACATTACCACTGTACACAAATGCTAAAATGGTTTTCTATTAGTGTTGGATATATGTATTTACATTAAAGATATAGAAAAAATATGGCCTATATTCAGCAGTGTACTTTAATAGGCTGTGATGGTTTATTTCATATGCCTACGTTTTAGTTAGCACTTATATTCATTGGATCATGATGTAGAGATTATCTAACCTACCAAAATAGTGACCCAAAAGGCTCTTTTTCAATACATTTCGTAGTATGAAAGACTTCTGAAAAAATAACAAGTTACGCAAAAATCAATCAATTTTCTTTAAAATGATATACATAACATAATATAGGCCTGACACAAGAAAAAAGCATTTATTTATCTTTCAAATCTAAATAACTTTATGGATTGGATAATTTCTGCACAACACGGACCAATAAGGACTAGGTCGGACTAAGGTCGCTAGTTGGAACTGAGGTAAACTTATTTGTTAATGTTTCAATGATAATGACACTGTGTGACCATCATCACACAGTGTCATTATAATTGAAAAATTGTGAATTTTATTAAGTTTTTTGGTTTCTAGTGTATATATAATTGTATATACACAAAACAATGCCTCAGTGGTGTATTATTTTTTTATTAATTCTTAACTGTTTTTAAATTCTTCAGTACCGTAAAACCTTACAACTTAAGCCTTGGCTTACAACTTTAGACAAATGCAAAATATAACTAAAACTGCATCTGGTTGCTATTTTAAACAAACTAGCAACATTTTGTGATTTTAAAGGTAAACTAGAGAATATATGTGGCAACACTGACTACTAGGTTTATTGCTATATCATTCAGTCGGCTGGCAACAGTGCTCGAAGTTACTCCTGTCGCAGGCGGTTAAAATAGTTAGTGAGTTAAGTGAGTTTCTCGTTAGTAGTTGGCGCTAAACACCTCCCAGGTAAGATTTTTTAGTATTTACTTGTTGGCAACTATACGGAGAAGCATTATGGTTTGAGTTTAAATCTCTTTATAATTCTTGAGAAATTCGAGGTGGGGAATGTTATGAGAACTTTTTCAGAGTCAGGTCTACAACATTGACCAGTGCGAATTGTGTGTCAGGGTTGTGACTTAACATAACTATGTAAATACTCACTTATGTACTTAAGTACGTAGGTAACTTTTGCGACTTGTTTCATTGGCGTTTGCGATGTTACTACTTTGTGCATAAGTATGTACGGTGGTAGTCGTAGGTAGGGATTATTTAGTCACAAACTAATTTCATAATAAAAGACTGTTAGAAATTAATATTCGTCTGTCTTTTTGGGCATTCTCTAAGTAATTAGGTACGTTTACTTTTCTACCTACCTAAAAATTAACATTAGAAAGGCTCTTTTTCTACTAAGGGTGGGTAAATTGCATATTTATGAAAAAAAAAAGGCTGCTCTATGCACTAAGACTTACCTACTTGCTTACTTTATTTATAAAATTGAATATAAACACTAAATGTAGACCATTAAAAAGTGTAGTGAACAATGTTTTTATTTTTCTATTATATTACAATTGTATCGAGAATTTTATTTAACGAGTTACATTACAAGCATCAATTGTCTACATTTTTTTTCAGGATGGTTAGATCAATAAAAAAAAGCCGGAGACGTCTCGGCAGTCGATCATATCAAAATTACACTCAAGATATGTTAAACCTTGCCAAACAATATGTATAAAATAAAACAATGTCTTCAAGGGAAGCCGCACGCCATTTCGGAATTCCAAGAGATACTATTCTATACAAATTAAAGGGAAAGCACCAAAAAAGTGTGGGATGTCCCACGCGCCTTAGTGACGAAGAGGAGCAAAAGATTGTTAAAGTAATAATTGCAGCTAGTGGTTTCGGATGCCCTTTGACAAAGCTGGATTTAAGGCTGATAGTATATGATTGTTTACAAAAAAATGGCAGAGAAAATGTCTTTGATGCTAAACTCCCAGGAAAATAATGGGTTTCAAGTTTCCTCCAGCGGCACGCTGAAAAACTGAGTGAGAAGCATTGCCAAAATATAAAAAATGCAAGAGCTGAAAAAACTGTAACGAAATTTTTAGAATACTTTCAAAATTTAGAAGAACACCTGAAAGACTCCTCCTTCGCACATCTTAAATCTTGACGAAACAAATTTAAGCGATGACCCAGGCTCGTCGAAGTGCTTGTTTCGCAGAGGGGTAAAGTACGCAGAACGGGTTACGAATTCTACAAAGGGAGCAATTTCTTTAATGTTTTTCGGCACAGCAGACGGAGTAAGTCTGCCTATATACGTAGTTTATAAATCGGAAAACCTTTATTCGGAATGGATTACAGGTGGCCCTAGAGGCACCAGATATAATCGAACAAAGTCTGGGTGGTTCGACTCGGCAACCTTCGAAGTATATTTTAAAACGGTAGTCCTAAAATGGGCAGATAGTTTAACCGGAAAAAAATTGTTATATGTGACAACTTATCAAGTCACCTGAATGTTGACGTCATCGAATTGTGTGAACAACACAATATAACATTTATTTTTATACCCGCCAACTCTACACACCTAACGCAGCCCTTTGACGTGGCGTCCTTTGGTCCCCTTAAAAAGGCGTGGCGTAAAATACTTTTACAATATAAAATGGAAAACCCAAACCAGATTTCATTAAATAAAAATCACTTC